TTAAAATTTCGCGTCAAGGAACATGAGGCATATGTTAGAAAAAAGGAAACACAGAAGTCTTCTGTTTTTCAACATTGTTGGTCCGAAAATCACACTTTCAAATTTTCTGCTGCCAAAATTATTCAAAAAACATCTTCCATTGGAGAACTGGATTTTCTAGAGTCATTTCACATTCATAAAAATCTTTCTGTTCTAGTTAACGATCCTAATTCCAATCCAAATTTGCCTTCGGCCTTTAAAGAAATTATGTTTTAGTTCTGGTTTCACCAACAGATGGCGCCACTTGCTTATTCTTGTCCAGGCTTTCTTATCTTATCTAATCATTATTTCCTATCTTGTTCATTTGCGGTTTTGCAGCTGAGGATGGTGGTTCGGTAAAACCATCGAAACTAGTCCTGTGAAAATTTCGTAAATATAACGCTGATTTTTGTTGTTTGACTTCTGAATAAGTATTTCATATATTAGTCAGTATTTCATCATTCAAGTATTTCATCATTTAAGTATTTAATCAGTCAGTCAAGTATTTCATCGTTCTGTTAAGTGGAAAATATATAAATCAGCTTTATAACTTAATTTAATAACTCTTATTTCCTCATTTTTAATCTCGATATTTCCTCTGTGTATTTCTAAAAGTAGTTATAACTTTTATGGACTGCATCATTTCTAGATTAATCTATGTCATGGCTTGATTAACGCTGATGATATAGCTAATTTGAAACTTGAATGAACTCAAAACTTTGAGAAGTGAAACCTTTCTAACCTACACCAAAACTTTCTCTTGGTGAGCTTCCATATTGGATAACTGTGCACTTTTGCTTTAGCTCTCTTGCACCCGAGAGGCTATTTTGCTCGCTGACATGTCGCTTAACATCTCCTAGCTATTGTCCATGGTTCTAAAAATGTAATCTGTGTAAAATTGGGGGTTATAGTGCACCCATAGTGATGATGTACAACAAAAAAGAACGCGTGCCCTAAGACTTAGTTATCAAGGAATAAAATTATATGTGGAATTTATGATTACGCCTGTTTTCGAGTGTCATCTTTCTAACTACGCAGCAACCTTTCCAAGTTACAACACAAAGAACTATCGCCAATCTGTTGCACTTTCTCCAAGTCTTCCCAGTAAAATGAAGTCTGACGGGACCCAGCTTATGAAAAATGATATCTGTTTCACTGGAAATTGGTCTACGAAATTAAGTTACAACTTTAAAAGTGCTAAATTGTCTAACTGAAATCCTGTCAACTCAAATGTAATAAAAACAAATTTTGAAGTGCTTATGTAGGAACACTGAGCCATAGAAAAACAGAAATACTGATGGCGCAGCATGTAGATAGCATAGAACATAGATCCATACTGAAGAGCAAGAATTCTGATTGCATAGAATGCTAAAATGTTGAATCCATAATGACTAGGAAACTTGGCAGCCAAGTAGGATTAAATATTCATTCTTACTTCAACTGACATTTATAGCCACAATTCATTTAGTACTCTAGTTATGCCTAGTTTCAGAATATTTACATTTTTGATATTGTTGTGATTAGAAAGAGAGCAGAATGAAATAGCATCCAAGCGACACAGATGTAGAAGTAAAAGTGCACAATTAAATCCAATATGGAAGCTCACCAAGAGAAGGTTTTGGTTTAGGTTAGAAAGGATTCAGTTCTCAAAATTTTGACTTCAAGTTCCGAATTAGCTACATCATGAACATTACACAAGCTATGTGACATAGATTAATCTAAAAGTGCCACAGTGCAGAAAAGTTATTACTACTTTTAGAATACAGAAAGGAAATACTCAAATTAAAAATGAGGAATTAAGAGTCTATTACTAAATTAAATTGCAAAGCTGATTTACATATTTTTTAACTTACATATATATATATATATATAATTTATTTACTAAAGAAATATTAATTATATTATCTCCTAATACAAATTTAGTAGAATGTATCAAAATGAGGGAACCCATAAGTAGGAAGTTAAATTCCGAAAATTGTTTTTTAAAGGACCTTGAATGTAAATCATGAAACAAACTTTTTATGGGGACTTGAATTAAAATCATAAATAACAGAATTTCAAACTTTGAAAAAGAAATTAAAAAATTTAAAAAACAAGTAATTATCGCTATTGATCGGAAATTAGTTGACTTTTCAAAAGAAACAAACCAATTCCCGTTCAATGAACAATAATTAATAAATGCGAAAGTGTTTCGTCTTTTACTCAAGTAAGAATGATGATGCCAAACTGGCAAATTAAGTTAGGCCAAAATTGTAGTTCCGGGAAGTGATGGGATTTATAGCCGAAGTAGAGTATCGAAGAACTCATTCTAAATTAAGTATTTTCGCTAATACAAGATTGTTTAGAAATTTTGAGTGAAAAGCCAATTTATGTAGTAAAATTTACAAGATACTTGAGTAAATGTCCCCCGACACCTTCGCTTTTAGGCATGTTAATTCAAGACTATTTTTATAAAAATAAACATAATAAACAGTAGTAATCTTAACTGGAATTATGTAATAGAACTCAAATTAATTGACTTCCGAAACATGACTGCCCTTTTCGACAAAAAAGAGCTTTCTTATCACTCGTTTTTTCTCTCTGAGGGGAAGAACCTCAAAGTTGTGATAAGAAAGCTTCCCATTGATGCGAAACCCACAGACATTCAGGAGAAGCTCCGTGAAAAAGATTTCACTGCGCTCAAAGTGGAGCAACTGATGAAGAGCAGAGGAAAAGATAGGGCTAAAATGCCCCTATTTCTGGTCACTCTCCCTAAGAACCCTAGGAACAATGAGATATACCATCTGAAATATCTAATGTACTTGCACATTAAAGTCGAAAGATATCGTGGTCGGCGTGGGCTATCCCAGGCTGTTCAATCTGATATTTTCACTGGGAAAATTCAGAAAGCTGTAGCGGACACGCTCAGCAGGTCATGAAGAATATCTCTGATCATATGAGCGCTTTCTACACAATACAACTACCATAGCTGAAAAGCAAAAGTAAAAACACAAGTGAGGCCGCGAAACTGAGATAAATTATGGATCGTAGGTCCTTATTAGAAATGGCCCCCAGTGACGATCATGACAGTGGAAATGCGCAAAAGCATTATCACCAAAATTAGCGAACTGCAGGACTTTCTCATACACTACATTTATATACTCATTATATATCTCATACACTCCGTGACATTGCACTAATCACTGAGACACACGCTACGCCAGCGCACGTTCCCTGAGTATTGCTAACTATCGCAGTTATCGCTGCGATAGGATCAAACATAGAGGCGGAGGTGCCATAATCTATGTTAAAGGGAGTTTGGACTCCTGCTTCTACGCTTCTGACCATTCTCATGGGATTTTGAAGAAGTCAAGGTAGTCGCACGTATCCCTAATTGGTGGAAATATGATTGTATGCGCCCTTTATAACATTTCCAGATCTCAGGCTGCAAAATCAAGCACTTACAGTAATTTACTAAATAACCCCTTTCCCATCATAATTCGGAGGATGATCTTAATGCTAACCACGTTAGCTTGGGGATACCTTCAAAACAAATAAAAAACCGGTGAAATCTTTCAAGACTTCCTGCTCAATTACCCATACTACATTTACCCCCCCCAGAAGATTTTACTTTCCGGCCTACTCACCCAACACAGTATACAGACATTCTGGATCATTTCCTCACATCTGATAACTTACCGATCGCTACGGAAGTAATTAATGACCTTTCTTCAGATCATGTGCCAGTTCTGGCACACCTAGGTATTAACAGGCCTGAAGCCAACACCACTTACAAAATTACTAATTGGGACAAATTCAAATCTGAAATTAACAATCACCTCCCCAAAACAGAACTACTTAAAATTCACCACCTACATTGATAAGCATTGCAAAATTCTACTACAGAAATTTTTAATACAAAACATCGCTTCAAACTTCCGCAAGAAATTAAATTAATTAGCCAGTCACGAAATAGACTCCGCAAGATCTTCGCCCACTCACGTGACCCGGCAATTAAATCGCAAATTAATAAAAATTAACTTAATCACAATATTAAGAGGTTAATTGACTCCCACCAGACTAAACTTTGGAACAACAAAATTGAAAATTAAATGCGGAAGACGGAGAATTCTGGAAGTCCTTCCGTTTAATTAAGTCGACAAAAACAAGCAACAAACCTCTACAGGACGACACTGGATTCAAATATAGCAACGAAGACAAAGCAAAAGCCTTTGCCACCCACTTCGCCAAGCAGTTCACTCCAAATGAGACCCCTTCAGTTAAAAAGGTAATCACAATGAATGAAGTTCTTAAAACCATTGCAAAAACTTTATGACTTTGTTGGATGTATAAGTATTAGACCAAAATACTAATGCAGGAAATTTAGCAACTCGGTATAGATTGGGATGATTCGTTGCTATCGGACTTTGATAACAGAATGAGAAAATGGGCTAATAAAATATCAGTGATTCAAAATATAAACATTTCTCGACATTATTTCTGAAAGACTAATAGTATAAACTGAGATGTTCAAATACACCGATGCAAGGTAGAAGGCATGTGGAGCTGTGATATATCTGCGGTATGTCACAAAGGGCAGCGAAATAGGAAGCAGTTTTGTAAATATGAGTAGCTCCGTTGCAGAAGCTGTTTCTTCCAAGACTAGAGCTGATGGAAGCACTCATCGGAGCAAGATTAGCTTCAAATATCAAAAGACTGATAGAGAAGACGCTTCAGATGAATGTACGCTTTTGGACAGATTCTTCTGCGACGTTATATTGGACAAAGGGATAGATTGGATAAAGAGCGATTTGAATAAATGGAAGCCCTTCATCCAAAATGGAGTAATGGAAATACGAGAGAAAACATCACCCGAGTCCTGGAACTACTGTCTTGGAGATGAAAATCCGTCTGACATGCTGACCAGCTGACCAGAGGAATGAAGACAAGATCCATGAAAGGAAGAACGTTAGCTGAACTACGAAACAGTGATATGTAGTTGCATGGATTTAAGTGATTATTATAGAACATCAATTAGTTGCATAAACTCTCAGAATCAGAAAAGGAGGTCGAAGATAATGAAAAGCTTTCGAAATGGAGCTGTGGTAAACTCAACAGTCATAGGGAAAAGTTATGTTGAGAATGAATTCATTAAAAAATATTCATCATTTAGTAAATTGATTTGCATTATTGCGTGGTGTTTGAGATTTGGGAACAACAGTAGAATCAATCCACCATTAAGAAAAGGAAGTTGAGTGCTTCTGAATTGTAGAATGCACCAAAGGTGATAGTCAAATTTACACAATATTCTGAATTTCAGTCTGAAACTAGGTGCCTACTGTTGAAAGGATCGGTTTCATTTTTAAATATATCTCTGGGCAAAGATGAACTTTTACAGTTGTTCCTGACACGCTTCCAACAAAAGCTCTCTATAAAAGAGCTAGAACAACATTTTTTTTGGAATCGAAGTAAATTCGGTCAGCAAAGTGAATCGGTTGTTTGAATCAGTTCCAGAGCGGATTATCGAGTTCTAATGTAAAACGGAGCTGCCAGCGTAAATTTATATCAGCTTCATTAATGTTGTGACTACACACTTGAAACAAATTGCCGAATACAACTGTTACCTAAAAGTTGTACTAAGAATCTCTCATTTAAATTATAGGGTTGGAAGAAATGCGTTTCTTAGAACAGTTCTGGATTGTGTTGTGTGTTAGAAGTTTTGATAAGGTCCTTGGTAAAGGATAAGTAATATTCCCACCTTATCATGTGCTATCTACGAGTATATCATTTCGGTGAATGCATTCTCATAATGTTTTGGGTGTTCAGGGCATATTTCTTGTCCCTGTTTCTGTATTTTAAAGTGGGACTGCCAATAAAATATACTAGAAGTTTCTAAAGCACACGAAGTGATAGCGTGCAGTGGTATGCTATGTATTTACTGAAGGAGATTATAAAGTACGATAAAATCTCTCGTAACCAGCAATATCAAATTAATAGCACTTTTGAAAGTTTAAATTTAAATCCGAAATTAAGGCCTATGAGATAAAATAATACACATATACCAATCCCTTTTTATACATCCATGCATCAGCTTTGAAAGGAGCATCCACGATTTTCAGAAATAAATCACACCGAATGATGTCCCATTTAGTTTGTCTCTTTCCTGAAAAAATATAAAAAGCAGTATATATATATATATTGCCGATTAAGTATATACCATTGCTGATGTATTCTATGATCATGCTCGTGGATGGTGAGTCGAGTGGCAAAGATCCTCTAGATTTTTGAAAGACTTCTGGCGTCCATGTCAGATATCTTGGATTTACTTACACGTTCAGAGTAGTTCATTGTTAGCGAAAAGGAAGGGCAGGCTTGGAAGAATGCAGTCAGTTCTTTTCATGTCACACTCTCTCAAAATGATGACGAAATAATTAGACATATACTAGGAAAGATTAATGATGAGGAGGATGAAGATGAAAGTGACACACAGAGCAAGAAAGTTACAAGGGAGGGAGTTGATGAAAAATTGCACATTTCCATAAGATCTTCTGAAGTATTTTCATCTGTGTCTGTATATCATGTTATGAAGCTTCATTGTATACACAGTGAATTTTTTAAACTATGGCGAAAATCTTGTAAGCAGGAAGACATTCGAAGTTGTATGCCATTAGATTAAAAAATTCGTAACTTTCATGTTAATAGTAAATGTGGTAAATTTAAAATGTTGTTTAGTTTTGTTTTTCTAAAATATAGAAATCATGTTGATTTTCAGTATTATTTATGTAATAATGGCCGACAGATAGAAAAAAATTACGAATGGCCTTCGTATGCTACAATTTCTAAAGATGGCATCACAAAACATGAGCATATAAATTCTATAAGTTTCCTCGCATATTTCTCCCTCATTTTTTTCTAATTTTATCTTAAAAAATATGGGAATAATTGAATTTCCAAGAGACAAGGTTACAGTAAGAACGTAATAAACGGAATGTAGTCATGGATGAACTGCAGATAAGTAGTTAAAAGTAGTATTTCTTCAAAAGAAGCGTACATTCCAATAAGAATATATACTAAGGTACAATATTTAATAAGACATATTCGTTTCTACTTGCCTGTAACTTGAATCAATCTCAATATTCTTAATGCTGCCTTCTATAGTGCGAGGAACATGCAAGCATACATACGAACAGGTTTTTTATTATTTAATAATAGATAGCAGCACGAAATAAATAAAATTCATGGTGGTTACCCCCTCCCCCCGAATCACCCGAGTCATCACCCAATTTTACTACGATCGTTTGACTCTTGAAGCATCAAAATTTCAGTCTCGGCTAACTAAGCTTTCCAAGAAAAACTTAAACTTTTAGTGTTTTATTTTGGTAATATTTTTATTCGTGGTTATTTATTTATCTCAGCAATGGAATTTGCTTTTATTTTTCTTTTTTTTACTAAAATGCCTGATGTTAGTTTAAGCGCTTTGTATGCTATGTTCTTGTGTGGTAACACTGGCTTAGAAGCTAAAAAGTGAATATAATGATCATACTAACCATTTAATGCTAATGATGCAATCTTTGTTCCCGCTATTTTTATTTGAATTTTATGTTGTAAATTTGAATATTTATAGCTACCTATTCGATGTATGTTTATCTCTTTCGTGCTATAGACAAACAAAAAGAAAGAATTTGGAAAACTATTAAACACAAACGATGTCATAAATGGCGTTTCTTGACCCAAGAATATCCACTCAAAGAAACTGAGTGATTTATATGGTATCGTTCTAAATGGTATTTTCGTATTAATGGCTGCTCAATAAAAGATGGAAGCAATAATCCTGTAATTAGCTATTTGTTGTCATCCTATTTGTAATTACAGACATGAACTCGTGCCATGCAAAAACACTTTCGCTGTCTTTATGTCTTCTTGTTGTAATAAGCTTTTAAATTTAATACAAGTCAATGATCAGTAAATGACTGAGAAAGTTTTTTTTTTCGGGAGGAGGGAATAGTAAATCACGCATGATTTCAAAATCCCATATTTCCTGTTGCTCAAAAGGTTAGGGGAATAGCATCGTTTAAGTGTTCGGTAACTACACAAGAAATAATTATTAAAACACACGAAATAGTGATAGAATATTAAATCTTATTTCATTCTTAGGCTTAAATGCCTTTCGTTTGCGTCTTTTCTTGGAATATTAGTGATATTTATTCGTGGAAGAATAAAGTGATTGGAGGTTCCCACTTCAAAGACTTCGGAGCAGAGAGATAGCTGAGTCTAAATTTGTTAAGCACCAATTGGTTGCCTGAGCGTTAATCTCAGCATTCAAATAACACAATCGGTTTTGCCCTTTGCTTTTATAAGAATAATAAAAAATATGATGTGGATGCCACATGACTTCCTTGTACGGCCTATTAAATTATACACATTTTTTGCTGCACTTCATTTAAACTTATTTCCTCGAATTATTCTAACTTAATTAACGGATTCCTAGAGGTAAATTAAAAATGACATCAAAAATTGCCAATTTTACAATTAAATATTCCGGTCCGGTTTGTTTTATAGCCCACAGGAGCGTTAGCTCAGAAGGGCTATTAATTTCGGTTTGGCATTCTGTGTCGATTCACTATAAACGGCGAATCACTTTTGAAATTGTTGCCACCAAATATTACCGCCCTGTATTACATTTAAAGAAATTAAATAATGAAGGATCAGCATAATGTATGTATGTTTCTCTCACTGTGATAAAACATTAATTAACCTAGAGCCATTAAATTATGAATAACGTACGTCTCCACCCGAATATGGGTATCTAGAAGACTGTAGGGTTTATATTTATTTTAACTAACATTTATTTTAAGTTTAAACTATCTTTCCTGTCAAGCCTTACTTTCCCCTGGAATTGCCAATGCCAGAGTATGTAAAATTTTAGAGTAGAACGCGCAAGGATTCAAATTGTCAGCGGAAGTAATCTGAGTAAATAGAAGGGGAAACGAGTTCGAAAGTGTGCTTTCTTGCTCACGAGCGTGGCGTGGCTAGTAGAAATTAAGAAATAAACGCGTTTCGGCCTGTGTGCTTGCCTCGGCAAATTGTTAATCTTCAACGTAATGTTCAGAAGTTGCTGAATTATCAGCGGTATCTTAGAACGCGGTGAGGTTAGTTACGTTTAGAGAGCCTCGTAGTTAGTCCACTTGTTATATATCTTTTTTCAGTTCCTTATTTTTTTTTACGCCGGGTCGGCGTAGTTTTGAGCGTCAAGAGCACGCATTTGTAATTTCTAAAGTTGAATAAAAAGGGATTTAAACCCTTCTCAAGACTTTGTCTACTTTCCAGTTCTCAGCAGTCACCACTATTGTTGCATGCAGGTTGGAAGCGCGCAACATTACAAGACAAATTTGGAATTTCGAGTTTAGTTTTTTATAACGAGGATAAAACTTTTCAAAATATTAGTATAGGAACCTGGATACCGCATTAAATGATAAATTTCGTTATTTGTCGATTTTTAGCCCAAAGGGGCGTTAGCTCCGAAGAGTTATGATTAGTTTCGAAATGGCATTCTGCATTGAATCACTTAAAAGCATTGTATCAATTTTCAAAACATTGCCAACAAATATTATTGCCCTGTATTATATTTAAAGAAATTAATTGATAAAGAATCTGCAAGAATGTATGTATTTTTCTCGTAGTGTGAAAAAACAACGGCACCTATAGGCTATCTAACTTTGAATAACGTAGTCCTCCACCCGAGTATAAGCATCTAGAAGCCGGAATTTTGGAATCTGGAATTTGTTCTATTGTGTATTTCATAGTTTGTAAAACTTTAACGAGTTTAAAACTCATTTCAAAGCGAGTACTGGCACCTCTGTACAGGAAGAAGCATTTTTATCTCCAGCGCGCGAAACTGTCTATCGGAAATTTTAAAGATATGCTGTTTTAAAATATTTTTAGCCCATTGGTACTGCCGGTTACAATAAAAAAGGGAGGTGTACAACTGGCTGTTATAGCAGTCTCAGTATACATAATTTTAACTTTCTAGGGCTGATCGTTTTTGAGTTAAGCGAGATACATGCATACGTACGGACATCACGAAAAAAATCTCTCTTGAATCCATTTAAAATCCATTTTATAATCCGTTTTGGAAAAAGAGAGTCCTTCATTTAGTCCGTATGTATGAGAGGGCCGGGGGGGGGAAACTTAATCGTCTAAATGCTTTTAATAGTCAAAATGGATATTTCCTTTGAAATATGATACCCGATATTTTTCGCGATTGACTTCGTACAAGGAAATAAAGGCGTTGCCCGGGCCTAACTCAGAATGAAGAGGCTTCTTTTAGAGTAGGTGTCTTCAAACCGTGGCCCCCGCTGAAGGCATTTTAGTGGCCCCACATTTGAATTTGAAGAAAAATTGAAAATTTTAAAGAAATTTTAACTTCAAGAAAAATTGCCTTGCCAGCATTTTGTCGTGAAACAAACTTTTTATTTTCCTTTTATTCTTGATATTTAAAACATTTTATTGAGATGCCTGATATTATCTGAGATTAAATTTTCTGAAAATGATGAATTTTTCAAAAAAATTCACTTTATCTTATGTAATTTCAAAAATAAAAAATTTTACTAAGCCTAAAATCTGAATTCCATAGAAAGGGTAGATAGATTCCTCTAACAGGTTTGCAACAGATGTGAATCTTTCGTCAGCACTTCGTTAAAGGTGAGCTTGAGATTGCTGCTACTATAGAGGGTAGGTGGAATAAATTAACAGAATTCCATTTCTCCTAATGTTGCAATTGGTTGTCAAAGGGAACGGTGATCGTAAGCATCCTGTTTGATTTGGTGATAAGCAGATTTTCTACAGTTAATTTTAAGCTAGGTTACTCACGCTCATTCCACATTCTGAAATTCAGAAACGTTTATGGTCTTTGAATGAGTACACAATGGCAAGACCTGATAACGAAAAAAAGAAATGTTGAAGTAAAGGGCGATTTTTTTCAAGAAAAGTGGTCAGATCTTTATTTTTTTCTTGTACATAAGGGTAAGGCAGTTTTGCCTTATTAGCAACGACACTGTAGCTGTGATGAAGGTATACATCATTAAGAGTCATTATGATACTAAGCACAGTAAGAAATATTCTACACCGCTGGCCACCGTAAATGCAACACCCTGAAGGAAGCATGCAAATAACATGAAATTTACAACATGCATTAGCGGAGGTGAGATATGCAAATGATTCGAATTTCAGCGCAGATGCACATAATGCGCGCCTGTGGCGCTACTTCAAAGCGCTATTTAAGGCTTGGAGTTTTCGACGCTTTCAAGTTTTCTTCGGCAATTTTTTTTTTTTTTTTGTTGTTGTTGTTCTTTCAAAAGAACGACCAATTATGACTCATAGTAAACAGCGATCATCGTTTGATCAAGTATCAAGTTCGAGACAGAAAAGGATAGTGGCCTTACCGAGAGTGTGGATTGTCTTTCAGGGAAATCAGTAGTCGTGTTGGATGAAACCTAAACAACTGTAGTGTGGATATGTTACCGTTGGATGCAGGAGGGCACGATGGCAACCGACGTGTTCGATCGCATCCACCTCAGTGCACCACTTCAAGTGATGACAGGAACATTGTGCGCATGGCAGTGACGGATCGCTCAGTCACATCACGAACCATAGCACAGCACATTCAGTCTGTACCGCATCATCCAGTGTCTGCGCGTACCATTCGACGCCGTTTACAGCAGAATGGTTTGTCCGCAAGACGTCCATTGCTTCGTCTACCTTTGACGCAGAACCACAGACGTCTCCGCCACCAATGGTGCGATGAAAGAAGGATGTGGACGGCAGAATGGAATGAAATTGTTTTTACTGACGAGTCACGCTTCTGTCTGCAACACCACGATAGTCGGATTCGAGTCTGGAGACACCGTGGAGAGAAGATGCTGAACAGCTGCGTTATGCACCGCCGCACTGGTCCTGCACCGGGTATTATGGTTATGGGGCGGTATTGGATATCACTCTCTCACTCCTATAGTACGCACTGCCGGTACTTTAAACAGCCAGCGCTACATCTCCGAGATGTTGGAGCCAGTTGTCCTTCCTTACCTTCAGGGCTTGCCCACAGCCATATTTCAACAGGATAATGCGCGACCACACGTGGCACGCAATGTCCAAGGTTCTTCGTCAATCGTCAGATTGAATTGCTTCCCTGGCCGGCTCGCTCTCCGGATCTTTCGCCGATAGAATACATGTGGTCCATGGTTGCTGAACGATTGACACAGATAACATCCCAAGCTGCCACACCAGATCAACTTTGGCAACGTGTGGAAGCTGCTTGGTCTGCTGTACCCCCAAAACACATCCAAAGTCTCTTTGAATCAATGCCGAGGCGTATGGCCGCGGTGATCTCCAACAATGGCGGCTACTCTGGCTACTGATTCTGGAAGGAACCACACTTCACAAAAGTCTACACTGACACTTCACAAAAGTCCAATAAGTATTTGGACACCTGTGATAGAAAATAAAAACTAACTTTATTTAAAATCAATAGTTGGTAGATCCTCCACGAGAGGTAATTACAGCGTGGACACTCCGGGGCATACTTTCCACAAGTCTTTGTATGACAGCTAGTGGTATTTTCTCCCACTCGGCTTGGAGAAGACATAGAAGTTCCTTCACCGATTTTGAACGGGTAGTGCACCCCTGAATTCGGCGATGCAACTCGTCCCAGAGCCTCTCGATAGGGTTCAGGTCTGGACTCTGGGCTGACCAGTCCGTTCGATGAACTCCATTGGCACCATACCAAGCTTTGGTTAACGTCGAAACATGACAACTGGCATTGTCGTCCTGAAAGTAACAGGGGTCCAACCCGTAAAACTGCCACAACGAAGGAAGCACATTATCATCCAAAATACTGCAGTAGGCATCGGAGTTGAGCTTATCATGAATGAGGACCAAGGGTCCCAGCCCATAACAGGAGAAACACCCCAAGACCATAATTCCACCTCCGCCGAACTTGACTGCTGGCACAATGCATTCTGGCAGGAGACGTTCTCCAGGTAGACGCCAGACCCAGACCCTGCCCCTGCCATCCGAACGGTAAAGGGTGAACCTTGATTCATCACTCCAAAGAACCCGTTTCCACTGATCTACGGTCCAATTTCGATGTGCTTTGCACCACATTAACCGAGCAGTGCGGTTGGACTTTGTGATCAAAGGCTTATGGGCAGCAGCACGACCATTAAAACCAAGCAGATGTGCTTCCTTACGGATGGTATTCATTGAAACAATACTCCTGGATGCCTGTTGAAACTCCTCGAGGATGAGGGCCATCGGTTGGTGCGGTTCTTACGAATTTCTCTGGATAGCACTCGTCGGTCTCTATCTCCCAGTTTCGTTGGTCTGCCGACTCGGGGCACATTCCTACAACCACCGCTCACCTTCCACTTCTTAATCACATAGGCCACTGTCGATTTTGGGTACTTCAGATCGCTAGATATGTCCCTTAAGGATCGGACACATTTGTGATACCCGATAATTATACCTTTCTCGAAATCAGAGAGTTCCGAATTGCGAGGTATCTTGCATTCGACTAAAGTCGATGCTGTTTCCTATACGATATAGACCGGCGGAGACCATGACGTACCTTAGGATGGCAGATATCGTCATTTGCATAGGTGTCCAAATACTTATTGGTAGTCAGTGTATAAATGTAATCATTTGATACTTGGTCAACATGTTATCTACTAAATAAATTTTGTTGTGATATCTCTTGTCTTTCTTGGTGTTGCAATTTGGGTGGCCAGCAGTGTACATTGGAACGTCATTTTCGAAGTGCTAAGGTGAGTGAATTAAAATCAAATCTAAATTTTCAGCAGTCTTTCACAACGAATAAAGAATCTGAAAATAGTGTTCATGTTAGTTACTTGATAGCAGAAAAAATTGGTAAGAGTGAAAAACCCTTTGCTGATGGAGAATTTGTAAAAGAATGTCTTCAGAGTGCAGCTGATGTGATTTGTCCATCACAAGGTCAAATTCATATCGAATATTAGCTTGTCTGTTGTAACAGTAGCGAGTCGCATTGAGGATCTCGCAACAGGTATATTCAGTAAATTAAAATCCAAATGCAAAAAATTTGAGTTTTATTCTGTAGCGATGTATGAATCAACACATACTGCACAAGTAGCCATTTTTTTTTTTTTTTGTGACTTTCACAACTCTAGAGGAATTAGCCAGTGGCATTGAACTTAAAGGTACAACACAAGGAACAGATTTGAATTCGAGTCTGACACTAACTTTGGATAAATGTGAGTTAGACTTCAGTAATGTATCTGCTATAACCACGGATGGTGCTAAATCTATGACTGGAGAGAAAATAGGAGTAACAACGTTACTCAAATCTAATGTGAAGGTAAGTGGAAATAATACTGTGATGACTTTCCAATGCATCATCCACCAAGAAAATTTGTGCAAGAAGCCCTTCTCAAACTTTGAACATGTGATGAATATTGTTGTAAAAGTGGTTAATTTTATTCGGTCTAAAGGACTTCACAGGCAATTCCAACAGTTCTTGAGTGATCTGGAAGCTGAATATGGTGATGCTGTGAATTACGCGGAAGTACTTTGTTTGAGCCGAGGAAAGATGCTTCAGCGCCTGTTTTCTTTGAAAAGCGAAGTTCAACAGTTCATGGAATCTAAAAGAAAATCAATTCACGAGTTCAGTGTTGAGAAATGGTTGAGAGACTTTGCATTTCTTGTCGATATTATAGGTCATCTCAGTAATTTGAACTACCGCTTACTAAGAGAGGAATCTAATGTTCATAATCTTTATTACTTTGTGAATGCTTTTGAGGCAAAATTAATCGTGTGGGAAAGTCAGTTGTTAAATAAGAATTCCACTCACTTTCCAAAAATTGATGGAGTGTTTGAAGAACTCTACAACATGGAATTCAAATAATTATGTACAAGGCATTTCAAATTTTAAAGAGGAATTCTAGAGCAGATTTTTAAGATTTTCGTGAAAATGAAATTTTTATCAGAATGTTCTCCTTGCCATTTTCAGTAGACGTTGGAAGTGTTCCACCTGAACTTCAATTTGAATTTATAGATTTAAAAGTGTGATTCTGCAGTAAAATGTAAGTTTCTTGAAAATCCTACATTTATTAATTTTTATTCGAAGTACGTGACCGAAGACAAGTATTCAGGAATTCGTAAACTTGCACTCTTCATGTCTTCTATCTTTGGCAATACCTACATATGTAAACAGCGTTTTAGTAAAATGAAAATCCTAAAATCAAAAACAAAAACATGGCTGACAGACAGACATTTGGAGGAAACTTTACGAATTGCAATAACACAGATTAAACCGCATATCGAAGCTTTAGTCAAGCCAAAAAAACGTCAAATTTCACGTCAAAACTAAAGTAACTACCATCTCCCGCCAGGAATGTAAGTGTTTTTTCTTTTTTTTTCAATGTAAATGCATTTTGTAACATCGTCATTTTTATACTTTTTTTCCATAGTTAAAAAAAGTTGCAAAACATTTTAATTTGACTTTTTAGAACCAATGTATATATATATACAAACTTGTAACACTATCTATTCGCTTAGAATTAATTGTAGTCTTGCAAAACAAACCCCCCTTTTTTATATAAATTTTCTGACTACACTATTTTTTGATAGACATGTGGCCCGCGGATCTTTGTGAATTTATTGGTGGGGCTCTCGGGCGTGAAAGGTTGAAGACCCCTATTTTAGAGGAATGGGCTTAGTTTTAACAAAATTTCAGGCAGACTGTGGATTTTCCTGTTATTTTGGCTCAAAGTATAGTTTGAATATTTTCACCAAGCTCGAATAAAAGTGTAGACCAGGGTAGAAATAACAAAGTACCATGTGACTCCATTTCTACCCTGTTCTAAAAAGTAGACGACCACGGCTTCATCTAACGATTTTAGTAAGAACTGATGGCAGGTACGAAACAATGATTACGTGAACATAAGGATAGGTGGAGTGACTTCAGAATTAATTTTATGCAGAAATATTTATATATAATTTTTGTAAAAATGAATTACAAATTCCTTTCTTGGTTTGTATGATTTCCACTAATAGCGGGAACGCAACAACGACGATGTGTACATAAGGTGGGCGACGTGAGCGCAACGTTCTGATACAAAAGCTTTGAGTGGGAAACCGTTGGGATAATTTTTCGAAATCTTATGTGGACAATAACCTTCCTCTTGAGACGAAGGTCAAGCGTGCAAAATTTCATCATGATGCCAAAACTGCAGCTTTTGTATGCAATGGCACATACAAAAACAACCGGACGCTCTTCTTTATATAATGTATCGATGATTTTAAGTAATCCAGCTAGTATCGTTTCATGTCGTTCATTCTAATTATTATAATGATAACCGAAATGAATTTGCGTTTATTACTTTTAAATGGTTTGGTTTGTTGCTAATAACAGAATAAGTTAGGAAAAAAATTTAAATGTCTTACACTTTGCTGAAGAATAACACACTGCCGCGTTTGAAATAGGTGAGTTTGATTACTAAATTCGAAAGGCAAACATATGGCGTTCTGCAGAGTAACAACACACTTCTTTTGCATTGCAGAGCTTCTTAATTAAATTTAAAACATAGGTATCTTAGCTTTGCAGAGTGGCAACACAAAGCTTTTAAATCTCTGAGTGTTTAATCATTAAATTCCCACAATTATGCATATATAAAATTCGTTAAATTCAAGCAAAATGTATGTATATAAAGAATATAGACTCCGCATTTTTTTTTTTTTTTTGTTTTTGTTTTGTTTTTGTTTGTTTAATGTTGTGTAGACAGCGATTTTCCTCTAAATTTGAAAGTATTCAAAATATCATCAAGATCAGAATAAACCTGTAGAATTTGTATGAATTACACACAAACACTCTTTTGTATGTACATAGATCATGCGTACTGTGCATTGCTAGATGCATCATATGTACTGTGCACGCACTGCTAGATGGCATAACAATTTGAAAGATACATAAAACTCTTGCATGCGAATATTATTAAGTTTTAAAAGTACAGGCCCCAACACTGGCAGAGTGGTGACTTCTGATAATTCGGCCTTCTTTCGGATCCACGCGAACGCACAGGCTGCATGGTTATTTTTTCCCATGTGTAGCATGAATATAAGTCAGTTTCCATTGGTCCAAGTCCTCCGCGAAGGCATCATTTTCCTTAGACAGATATCCTCGCATGCTTTATTATGTTCAAGTAACCTAACTTAATTTAAATGTACTAAAAAAATACTGCTATCTGAACTCAAATCATCGCCCTAGCCTATTGCCCTAAACTGCAGGAGGTCCAGAAAGATCGTCCTGTAAGTCTTCATATTATTTTCGTTTTCTCATATAAAATTTTTTATTACAAACACCATCGTTTGTTTTGGTTTGTTTGATTATGACAAAGGACGCAAAGGTTCTCTGCCTAACAGGAGGAATGCCTTCGTAGAGAACTCTATAAGTGACACTAGCTCGTAAGTGTAACGTGGTTCTTCGAATCTTGGTAATTCGACCTGGTTTGAATTCGAATCCAGGCGAAACGGCTCGTTACATGCTTTGTTTTCGTGAGTTTCTCTATATTTATACTATGAATACGAGTCAGTTTCTCTCTCCATGAAGGTACCCTCTTCTTGGGCCGATAGCCCTCATGGCTTTGCCGTATTCAAATAACATAATGCAGTACGTTATGCATTGGAACACCACAAAAAAAAATCTGTGCATTTCGTAACAATATGTATTTTTATTCGTGCTTCGAGGAAAAATTTAATAAATAAGAGAAAGAGACTGATTTGTAATTATTAAACTAGTTTATTAGACGTAGATATTAAAGATTAGCTTAATTATTCTCAAGTGTTAGTGAAAACGTAGAAATCTTTCAAAATTTGCTTATTTTTTAGTTAAAATCAAGGTAAGTTTTTTAATGATTAATTAAACATGTTGGAATTATTTGAAAGAAATTTGACTCTAAGAATTTGATATTTAACTGTCAGTATATTTGAATTACAAAGTGTAATCGACAAAAATGATTTACAGGTACCAAATTTTAATTTTGTTTATATAGTAACCGAAATTTAAAATGCTTTTTATTTTGTTAATAAAATAGTTCATTTTGTTAAAGAAAAAAAATTCTGACCTGTCAGCTGTTTTCAGATCGTGCGTTCGGCTCGCACCAGTCATATAGGATGTTCCAACAAAAGCGCCGTATTTAACATGTCCAATAAAATACTTTATTTTTAGAAAATGGAAAATATTTTTACATGCTTACGACAGGCAAATGTTCTGAATTAAAAATGAAAAATAATGCATGGCATATATCTTCCAGGACTTACTCTGAAGCGCCGTACTCCCTCGATTAAATTTATAATCACATATTCATCTACCTGCCCTGCTTGAGGTGGCTAATGACACGTTCGGTTTCTTCTTTAAGTTTTTTTGTTGTTTCTGTTTAAGTTCGGATTTTGGGGGGATTTGCAATAACACTGTCACGCAAAATAGCTATATTTTCTACAGACCAACTGGATCGAGAGCGTAGTGTTTTAATGTCTGCTGTCGAACCTGTGTTGTCAAATTTCTTTATCAATCTGCGATTTGTTATTTCATTAGATGCGTTTTCAGTCAAAAGACTCTACGAAGCTAACAGTCTGTGCATAACAACGCCATTCTTGTAATGAATTTCCGCTATCAAAATTTGCTGTTTCTTTGTGCAGTGCTCCATGTCGACTAAGCTGCAACAAATTTGCGAAATGAACTGATAGTGACAAATTGCTAGTGTCATTTAAATCAAATTCGATGTTTTTAAACTGAAACATTGTCCTGTTTTCAAAATGAAAAATATTTTCATTTGTAAAAATTAATTGTTTTTGTATTGCAATTTGTGAATAAATTGCATATTAAATATGGCGCTTACGGCTATTCTTTTTTGAGTTATGTGAGATACATATGTACGTCACGAAAAAATTCCCTTTTGAATCCATTTTAAAGTCAAGTTTGGAAAAAATAGTTCTTTACTGTGTCTGTAAATAGAGGTGTCATGTACATAATCGTCAAAGTGGATATTTCTGTTGAGATAGGATACCCGAAATTTTTCGTGATTAACAATACTTCCTTTACTTCGTACAAGGAGGTAAAAAGCCTGATTTCTAGAACTTTACACAAAATGCCAATCTGATAACAACTCTTTCTAGGAAGTCCATCTTTCTAAAATAATTCTTGTAACACGAAGGGGGGCTGGGGAATGGAAACTTTTATCGCTTTGCATAAAAACTCACCCAAACATAAATCTACTCGACTCCCAAATCAGCTTATGATATTCATCCAAAACGGTACCCTGTAATTTCAATAAATTATTGGAATGCAATAACAAAGTTATCGTTTCAATCATTTTCCTTGATATGTGGGAGGAGAGGCGAGTTGAGTTGTTTACCCAATGTAAGAGAGATAGCAATACAAGATCTTTAAAAAACCTGCTTCCTCGTACTTAGAAATCTCACTTTCAAGATTACTTCACCTTCATCCTCTGAGTAGATTAATGATCCCCAAGGTCAGGTTAGATGTAGGAGAAGGTTACAAGATGCAGTTAACGAAAGACCTTTGTCTGATATCTTATGCTAATAAACTGCTCACAACATTACTCGGTTCTTGTAATTTTATCTTAATTCCTATCTGACGTGGAGTAATTTTACAAAGTGGGATGGTAGTTCTCCTTCATGTGGATATTTCACGATGGAAAAGATTTATCTCCTTTGTTGCTTTTCGTGCCATTTTCATGAAATGCACGTAAGCGTCATATATTTGCACGTAAGCACGTCATATATTTGACGAGTTTAAGATACTACCATCCTTTTATTTTGTTTTCAAAAATGTGCCTATCCTTAATATGCCTTGGAAAATAAATATGAAGATGCAGACTTGTTGGT